TTATAAGAGATGGTTATTGTCAGCTCCACTTTACAAATGAGAAACTGAGGCCTAGGATCACTTAATATTTTCCCAATATCTCATAGCCAGTAAATAAAAGAGCATACAAACAAATTTAAATCTGTATAACTTCAAATCATGTTTTAATGCCGGGTGATCGCAGACAGGCAGGTAGGCCTATGTATGTTTATTTCAATGTTGATCTTAAAAGATGGTTATTGTCAGCTCCACTTTACAAATGAGAAACTGAGGCCTAGGATCACTTAATATTTTCCCAATATCTCATAGCCAGTAAATAAAAGAGCATAGAAACAAATTTAAATCTGTATAACTTCAAATCTCATGTTTTAAAAATCCTTCTCAACAATACTTAGCTGTTTTCTTCCACTTCTTATAGGTAAACTTTTACTTGAGTCCCATCCATAGCAACTCAAAAAAGTTTCAGGTGGGGAAGATGGCAGAGTGGTGAATAGCAGAGAAAGAGGCTAAGATTTGATATCCCGATACTAGCATATAGCAATATGAGGAAGAGAAGAAGAAGGGATGTGGATCCCTGGGATACAGGAAGGCTCTAAATCAAGAAGTGAAGTCTATGGGGAGTGCAAAGAGAGAGAATTTAATAAAGAAAGAGGTGGCAAGAGATGTTTTCCCCCTGATCACTGACTCATTGCATGGGAGAGGTGGCTCAAACCTGTAGATGCATGGTAACTACTGATGACCCCAGAGGCTTCCATGGATAAACATATAAATAGAATGAGGCAGTGGATGCAGTTGCCTGCAGTTATTCAGATTCAGATGCTCCTCAGGAGAGGGTGATTGGCCAGTAGCCATCTCAGAGAGGGGCAGACTGTGCTTGAAGCTCAGAGCAATTATGAGCTGGTTCCATCTAGCAGCAGCCAGTGTCAGGGAGAGGCTACTGAGTTAAGTTGGCAGGAGGTTAAGGAGCCGAATTCTAGCAAGCATGGAGCCAAGTTCCAGCAAAAAGGAGGCACACCAAATATCTGGAACAAATCAGGTATCAGCTTCATAGCCAAAAATCAGCCTGAACTTTAGTGGAACTAAAGGGTCAGCTTGCTGGGATTAGCCACTAAACTACCTTAAATCTATTGCTCGCTTGATGGGTTTAATCAACACAAATCTAGACTCTGCCTAATTTGTCTACCAGTGATAGCAGAGACATACCTTGAAGTGGCCTTTTCTTATTTTCTTCTTTTTCTTTTTTTTTTTGTTGTGTTTTTTTTCTTAATTATTCTTGTATGAGTGTAAACATTGTTTCCAGTCTTTTGTTGTTGCTTTGTTTTGTTCTTTTATTTCTTCTTTCTTTCTGTCCTATCTTCTTTACTAGTTTCCCAAAGTTCTTTTAATCTTCCAGTGTCCTCCAGCCTTTCATCTAATCTGTTTCTCTTCTTCTATATCTCTACTTTCCTCTCTAACCCTTTTTCAAATTTCCCCCTTAGGGTAAAATCATCATACTGAGGGTTTATTTACTTTATACAATTTTATTATTTGATTTAGATTTTATTATATAACCACAAATCTAGTTTATATAGTTAAAGCTGGAATATTAATAGTTAACACAGTTTGTCATTTTCTAAGCTGTGTTTGATGCTTTTTAAAATTGCTGATTGTACTATCTTAGCCAAAGTGACATAATTTTTCTAATCAATTGCTCTTCCTAGTATGCCAAGACTCAGTTTGCCTAAGAATCATAAACAATACCAGTGTCAAGGAGCCAAGAGCTGGGCCAATTAGGCAACAAATTATCATCCCCAGTAAAATGAAGAGGTAGAATCTTGCAACAGACTCAAAACCCAAAAGTCATCAATACCTGGAAGACATCTTTGAAAAGTAATCATTTCCTAAAGCTTCTAAATATCAGCAATGAAGATACTCACCATAAACAATTTATAATCACCCCTCACACACAAAAGAAAAAGAAAATGAGAAGACATGGAAGCAAGATTCAACCCAGACTTCCAGCCCAGCAAAGGCAAACTGGAGGGCAATGAGGTGGAACAATTTTTAAAGACACCCACCTAGCCTATTTGAAGTGATAACAACAGAAGTAACAAAAGAAGGAGGCACTAGAAAAAATAAAATCAGAAATAATTTCTCAGATAGCTACAGAGATGGTAACCAGAATGAAAGACATACTTAGTGACTCTAGAGGAGATATAGACAAAAGAAGAAGGAGGAGGAGGAGGAGGAAGAGGAGGAAGAGGAGGAGAGGACAACAACAACAACACTAACTTAGAGAAATGATGCAAACCCTGAATACTGAACATAGAAAAGAATTGGAATGCATGTAACAGATTCAAACAAATATCTAGGAGATTAAAAATACATTGAGTGTATGTACAGAAAAAGTCAATGTGAGGACAGACTATCAGATGTGAAAGACAGGGTTGTGTTTAGTGATCATGAAAAGGAAGATTTCTTAAAAACAGCAAGGGACCACAAAAAATCAATCCAACAGCTGATACATGATGCAAAGAAGAATAGTATAAGATCGATCAGAAGCAGTGAAAATGCAGGAAATACTATAAATGACATAAAAACCCTGTTCACAGAAGTAATGGTAGAAAGCTTCCCAAGCAGGAAAAAAGAATTTGACATAAAGATAATTGAGGCATATAGAACTGTAATTAGCCATGTTCAAAAAATTCTACATCAAGGCATATAATAGTCAAGATTCCAGAAATCCAACATGAAAACAGAATATTAAAAGCTACTACAAAAAAAGAAACAAATCACCTATAAAAGAAAGCCCATTAGAATCACAGCAGACTTCTCAACAAAAGCCCTCAAGTCAAGGAGAGCTTGGAGTGAGTATTTCAAGCCCTAAAATAAAATAACCTCCTACCCAAATTGACATACCCTACAAAACTATTTTCCAAAATTGGTGGAGAAATAAGATAGTTCCCTGACAAAGAACATCTGAGGAAATTCATGACAACCAAACCAGCATTACAAAATGTTCTGAAGGACATTCTAGAAAGAGGTAACAAAGACTACAACTCAATGAATCTAGAATGAACAAATCCATCAGATAAGGCAAGCAATTAAGCAAAGAGGAAAATAAGTGAACCAACAGCAGGAAAATAATATGACCAAGATAAATCAATACATATCATTTATAACTATCAATGTTAATGGTCTCAATTCAACAATTAAAAGAAATAGAGTGGTTGAATGAATCAAGGAGCAAGGTCAAACAATATGTTGCATACAAGAAACACATTTAATTCAAAAAGAAATTCATAGATTGAAAAGCAAAGGATGGAAAACATTACTCCATGAAACAGGAAGTTAGAGAAAAATAGAGTTAGCTATTCTACTTGCTGACAAAGTGGACTTCAAACCAAGACTGATTAAGAGAGACAGAGAAAGTCATTACAGCCTTGTAAAGGGTGCAACCCAAGAGGAAGAGCTAACAATTGTAAATACATATACACCAAATACCAGGACACCCCATCATATAAAAAAATTAATGGACATGAAAAATTAAATAAGCACTAATACAATTGTTATGAGGGACTTCAATAACCCATTGCCACAAATAGACAAATCAAGTAGATAAAAAATCAACAATTAAATATCAGAACTGAGCCAAACTTTTGAACAAATGGATTTAGTAGATGTCTACAGAGAGTTCTACTCCGCAACATCAAAATATACATTCTTCTCAGCTACACATGGAATATTCTCCAAAATAAACCACATACTAGATGCAGAACATGCTTAAGTAAATGCAAAGAAATTGAAATAACTCCATAAATTTCATCAGACCGTAAGGCAATGAAATTGAAAATCAATGCACAAAGAAACCACAAGAACTTCATAAACATATAGAAATTAAATAACACCCTCCTGAACAATCAGTGGGTCACAGATGAAATTTAAAAATAAATTAGATAGTTTCTACAATTAAACAATAATGTTAATATAATATACCAGATCTTCTGGGATGTGATTAAAAGCAGTCTTATGAGAGAAATTTATAGCAATGATTTTTCATAACAGATAAACAGAGCAAGCTCAAATAAATAACCTAATGTTGAACCTCAAGTTTCC